AGGAAAACTATGCAAGAGTAGGGTTGGCAGATGGAAAAAAAGATCTCAGTTTTCACTGAGGTCAAGAGGGAAAAAATCTAGATGGTTCTTACTGACTTCCTTCGAGCGTATGTTCTGCACGTCTTCGTTAAATGAATGTTGCAGAGATAATGAACAACATGAAAAGTATACTCGAGATCAAAACTGGCCAGAAAATTGACCAGACCAAATCCTTGGAAGGCAGTTTTAGAAACTATGCAGTCATCTCCTCTTATCATATCTGTTCTGATGCCCTAGAAATGGATTCTGAATGGTGAGCAAGGACTTGCCAGGATGAGACTAGGGATCATAGTAACTGGGGATGATTTCTCTGTCTATAGAGGAAAGCTATAAAATTTTTGGAATTTACTTGGTTTCCACAACAGTGCAAGATAAGTGTCCACTGTTACCAAAACCAACAGTCCTCTGCATTTATACAGTGTCCTACATACTGCAGCCTGGCCCACAGTAGGTAACTGTCTTAGAACACAAGCAGGAAGCTTAAAAATTCATCTTTCTCTCTTGGATTTGAGATGGAGAAATTTAGCACAACCAGCATTTGCACATACAAGTGAAAACTTTCAAAGTGGTCAACAATGGGCTTCTGAAAGGAGGTATCTGAAGGTCTAGGAGCCTCAGAGAAAGCACACACTCAACACAGAAGGTGACCGGTCCACCAGAGCACAGCAAAGCAGAACCAGGGCGGGCAAGAAAATACAGAACGCACAGCAGACCCTGTGCATTCACATCTCACTGTGTACATCAGTATCAACTCCCAGACTTTAAGCACAAATATCAGAAAAAGCACCCTTACCCTCTGCTATCTTTGAGGAATTCACACCCAAGCGGTCCAGTTGTTCTCCACTCACTGACTGCTGCTGTAGGAATCCAACGCCTCACTACAGTGTTCTTGAAGCCTGTTTGCCCACTCGGCCATTCTGGTGCCTGGCAGTAGACTATGTACTATTTTTAGTTTTCATGCCCATATTCCCTGAAGGGGTCCACCCAGGAACCTCTCAGCCCCCTGTATTCATCCTAACTACACAGAGCCTTTCTGGGGTTTCCAGGGAGCAGTCAGCAAAATTATCTTCTGCTTCTGCTCAAGACTACGAGGCATAAGGGAGGTCCTGCTGTGGTTTAATATGTATTGGAAGCTTACACAGCTCTAATATACATGAGAAGAAAATTATGGCGTGATCTTTAGCCTCTAGGGGTCTGGGCTGAGTCTTCATTAGAAGCTACTGCGCTGACTTCCCACAGAAGCAGGGCAACAGGGAAGGAACATCACGCCATCAGTGCCTGGCTGATGTGATTGCACTTAGCAAGCACGGCTTTCGGCAGGATGTGAGGCACTCCCCGTGTTCTGCTCTAGGTCCCCAAAGCACAGACTCAGCCTCATTTAATGCAGTTATTATATTTTAATTATCACCATTTACTTGTTTATTGATTCTAAAAACATTTGCTGAGCGCATTCTCCTGTGTTTCGGGCACAGATCAGGTACTAATGACTTAGCAGACTGAACAAATGGAACCTCCCAAGTGAGAACGCAGTGAGTATGTTACATGTGTAGGGGGCACGAGTGTGGGACTTAAAAAAAGGTGTTGCTTGAGCTAAATTTTGAATATGAGTGGGAGTTACCCTGGTGGATTAAAAAAAAAAGGAAAAAAAGCATTCCAGGAAGAGGTAAGAACGTATGCCAAGGCATGCGCTATCTGGGGACTCCATCATGACTTGGATGGTATGAAGCCGGCCTGGCTGCATGGTAGAAACAGTAGAGAAAAAGCTGCTTTCACATATGCATTAGCATCAGCCCCAAGAACTGGTTTGAGGTAGAATGCTTAAAATATTTGTTGAGAAAAGAATTTTCATTTGAATTTCAGGGAGATAAAAACTCAAATAATTGAATTTCCTAAGACCAGGAAGAGGGATAACCCTGATAACTCCCAGCACTGATCAATGAATGCTTTGTTAGGTTTATGATCCAAGAGGAAACTCTGGTGGATGTGGTGACACAAGCCCATAATATCATTACTTGAGAGGCTGAGGAAGGAGGACTGCTGAAAGTTTGAGGCAGCCTAGGTTACAGAGTTCAAGGTCAGCCTGCACTACAGAGCAAGACTTTGTCTAAAAAATAAAAAAAACAAACATACAAAAACAAAAAACCAGGAAACTCTGCTTTACAAATTAAGAGCTGGTTAAGTAGATTGTAGTAAATGAGGCTTTCTCTATGCGAGACTCATACACCTCAGATGCAAACAAACAACAAAAATTAAAAAGGAGGGAAGATTCCAGTAAAAGGAAATATTTTTCAACATCAGAGAGCTCATATCTGTAAAGTATAATGTTAACTTTGTAAACTAGTAACATGCCATCCAAATGTATGGCTGTGTGATTGCTGTCACAGGGAAGCAAAGGGTGCCAGTGCACCAAAAAAGCACATGGACAAACTAAGTTGGGCAGAGGGGCCAGCATGTGGCTGCATGAGGAGGGACAGAATAGAGCAGCTTTCACTGATGCCTCTACTGACTGCTTTAGCTACCCGCAGAGCTCATTCCCTTCCTTTCCTTTCCCGTTCTTTACAGCAATGACTAGAGGAATACAGACTGATGCTAAGGGCAAGAGCGCTCCTATTTATGTAGCTAAGTGCTGTCAAGTAAGTGGCACTTAGTATGTATGTGGGTCCCTGAGGGGACTGCTGGAGTGGGTGTGGAAAACAAAGACGCTATAATGGAAACGATAATCCTGTCTCCAGCTGGACATGGACAGTTAGGTTTCTTGGCCCAAAGATGGTAGGTAATTCCCATCCGAACTTGGTCATTAAGATTGAAGGGTGGAGTATAGGATGATATTCCCATCAGAAATGAATGCATCTATTTAAGAAACGAAGATAGAAGAAATCAAGCAGCATTTCTGGGGAGATGCCGTGGGGCTGAAAGACAACAGATTCTGTAACTAAAAAGATGGGAAACTGTTTGCATAAATAAGATCCACTTACGAACAGGTGTACTGGGAAAAACTGCAAGGAGTGTGGGAAATGGGCCTGGGAAAGTTTTGCCATCCATGTTTGCTATCCAGTGGAATCACTGTGAAAAACACAGCAAATGTCGGAAGAAGAAAACCTAAGAACGTGTTCACAGAACATGTGGAAGATCAAAGGCCAAGCAATTCAGAGTAAATGCAGACACATTTCCACACACTCAAGTGAAAATGAGTGAGCCGGTCTTTTCTTTCCCTTTGAAGAGAACATTTCTTGAGCAGATTAAGGCCACCTGGTGACATCCTTCACGCGTATTATGGAATGATTTGATTTGCAGACTCATACTGTGATTACTGGAGAGGTAAGCACTTAGAGAAGTTTTTAAATCTTAAATGTTTACCCTATGCTAGACATGAAATAATATCTGAAATCCAAGACCTGGGGAAGCATCTGAATTAGTCAAGTGATTTTTTTCAGGGCATGAGGTGGTGTGAGTTGAACAGCCGTCAAAAAAAACACAAATTTAGGAATAAAAGACAAACCTCTAAATTAAGAGAAACGATCATACTTGCAGCTTGGTATTTCTGATTTTCCTTAAAAACAGTACATACTCTTGTGTATTCTGACCTGGTAAACTGATAAGAGGGGTCTGAACTGAGAGGGTCATAAACAACTTTATAATGGAATACGCAAATCACCATGAACCTCTGTCGGAGTTTAGTTCACCGAGTTCATGAGGTACCACACCCATCCCTGAGCAAGTTATTAAATCCAACACGCAACCAACAAATTGGTAAACTAGGTTGTTCTGTTTCCTCACTAGCTTCATCTCACCCTTTCACTGTGTAATCCCAGGAGCCAGGGAAGCCAGTTTTATTAAAGAAGGATGCTACTAGGTGGCTGTGTGGGAAGGAGAAAGGGGATGGCTTTGTGGTAAATTCTACTACTTGGCCCACTCATCGCTCTAGTTTTTGACAAGAAACCAGTGTATCCTTGGGTCCAATCTTAAACTCTTGGGATTTAGCTTGAATGAAAACACTGAGGGCATGAGCCAAGATGGCATCACTATGTCAGATATAGAGTCTTTGCTGTTCCCGGATGACAAACTCCCTCCCAATACACCTCCCCTACTCCACCCCCACCCCCCAGAAGCCCTACTTGGCAGGTGACCTGAGTGAGACTTACAGACCACCTTCAAGGTACACACAGTCAGACAGCCACAGGGATAGTGTGGGTCAAGCTTTCCTAAAAGTGATCATTTCTTTCCTCCTCCTCCCTCAAGGGTTCTGTAGCAGTGAAGGTGGGCTCAGAACACTTCTGAAAGGTTTCTCTAGTTTCCCTAAGTGCTGTTAAAGCCCATACCAGAGCCTGCTTCCAGATCCAGCTGTGTCCAGAGGTACTTCCAGTGAGGGACCACCAACCAAGGAAGCAATATGTTGAAATATGGGACTAAATCTGTTCCTGCAATATTCGCATCTCGAGTTAAATAATCCTGCCCTATTTGTCTGATCATCACACTGCCTGAGCATGGATTACTGTAAAGTCCCATGCAATTTATTAAGGAACATCCATTCTTGTTTTTCCTTGACACTTCTTCCCAAATAAAACTTGAAGAACAGGTTTCATGATTCCAAGCTTGTGATCATGGGCAAATTGCTGTACCTGAGTCTATAGTACCTTATGTTTAAAAGGGGGGTGATTTCAAAAGGCTGTAGGGATTGCAGGATATGTGTAAACATACCCAGCATAGCGCCTGGCACTCTGGGGCTCAACAGTCCTTTATACTCTTTCTTCTTCCCAAGACATCCCAAAGTCAGTTATTCCAGCTCATCTTAGTGCCTCTGAATGATCAAGGTTCTTCTATGTTCGCTTGAGGTCTCACGGTCCTCCTCTCCTTAGGCCCTGTGCTTACAGCAGTTTCTACCTCACCAGAGTCAAGCTTGGAGCCAACTGGGCTATTACAGAAAAAAATTCTAATGTGGGAGGATGGGGTACAAAGTGAACACCGGCACCACCCCTCTGGAGTCTCCTCTTAACCATGTTGGAGGCGAATATAGGGAGCCAAAGGAGAGCACACAGAACCCTGCAGGAGGTCAAGGCCAAAGTCCTCTGGGCCCCAGGAAGTCACTCAGGGATCGGACAGGGTGAGTACCCTCTCCTCAGTCACAGGTTCCTTGAGGCAGCTCTAGGACACCATCTCTCGTCCCCTCTGGGATGCACCATCATGACAGTTTCCAGAGGCGCCCCTTTGCTCCCACGTGGTCTTCCTGGGAGCCACCCTGGCTCTGGCTTCCCTAAAGACCCAGAAGATCCCCCTGGGGATGGTGCACCCACACCGGGGCGCCCCACGGCGGCAAGGACACAGCGCTCTGGGCGCATAGGGGCTCGGTCGTGGGGCGGCTCCCCACATGGCCAGGAACTCTCCCGTGGGGGTGGAGGCAGCGCCCACTCGGGGCTCACCCACTTCCACCGGGCACCTCGGGGCCCCAGAACCAGCCGGACCCACAGACCCGCCCTCTGGTGACGGCCTGGTCCCTGCCGTCCCCGCCCCGGCTTACCGGGACCGTCCGGGTGCGGGGCGCGGGTCCGGGGCTGGCGGACTCTGCCCACGGCCGCGCAGGATCCGACGCCGGGAGCAGGCGGCGCTGCAGGCGGAGCGCGCACCCCGAGCACACCCAGCGCCCCGCGCGTCTGCGGCGCGTGCGCCCGCGCCCGGCGCCCTGGGCCGACGGTGGACGCGCCCCGCCCCGCCCCCTGCGCCTCTCTCGGGCCTCGTGGCTCAGCGGGCGCGGGAGGGCGCGGCTCTGCGGGGCTGGTGGCCCAGGTGCGGCGTCGCCCCCTCGAGCCGCGGGGCGGACCAGGATGCGCCCCAGGCCGCCTGCGGCAAGGTCAGGGCGCTCCCGCAGGAGGCTGCCCGGGGCGCGCTGGAGGGGCCTCTCGGGGCGCAGGCGGGGTTGCGGGGTGTCGCACCAGTGCTGCTGGGGAAGGGAGGATGACAACGCACCCGCCGCGCCCTCCGCTCTCCAAGCTCAAGACCCTGGAGCTGGGCACCTGTGTGGTGGCCCCCAGCGGCGTCCGGAAACGGGCAGATGAGGCTTGGCAGGGCCCTTGGCTGGCCCGACCCACCCTGCACCCCGTTTCCCACATCCAACACCAAAGCTGAGCTGTCATGTAACCCACTTTATGCCGCAGCATCCGCGTCTCTCGGTGTCTCCAGACAGCCAGTGTCAGGAGGCCCGCAGTTTTGAGGGCTATCATGTGCATTACAACAAACTCCATCCGCTGAAGAGACTAGGACGACATCAAGTCATAAAGAGTGCAGCAATTAATTATAGGGAAATAGCAGAAGATATGCATACATGCTGAGAACCTTTTTAACTTATTTATAACACCTCCATTTTCTTGTGCATTCAATTTATAGTTATCAAAATATACATATCACCATTTTTGGATCGTATAATATTTTTCCCAGGTCCTGTGTGTGTCTCTGTGTGTGTATCTGTGGTGGAGAGGAGATAGGAAAAGAGCTCATTTTGTCCTTACGGTGCACCTTACCAAGAGGGGATAAAAGCTGGTTAATACATTCATTTAAAAGTGTATTGTGCAGCTATCAAGGTATTTATAGTGCTATCCATTGCTATCGCTTTCGAACACAAAGTACCAGGTACTGTTTTAAACACTTTATGTATCATCAATAATTTTTATATATGTTTGAGGGATAGACTGTTAGTGTTTACATTTTTCTGTTGATGAAACTGAGGCAGGTTTACTAATTTGACTGAGGCCACATAGCTGCACGTGATGGAGGTGAGACTGAAATCCGGATATTCAGCCTAAGACCTAGCCATTTTACCGAGCTGTCCCTGAGAAGGGAGAGGCTGCTAACCATTAGTATAGGGAGTTCTAAAATTAGCGCTTTTTTTCAGGAGCTAGGGTTCTTGTTTGTTGTGAAGCTAACAGTAAAGAGCAGATTGAGCTTTCCCTTGGTGGGGTACTTCACCTTCTTCAGAATTACATCAGGTCAGCAGTTTCACAGATAGGGCAAGACTGTTCTCTGAACTGTTCTTTGAAGAGTTTTCTTTGTGGAACGGGAGGCAGTAATAATATCCAATATGGTCTCTGTTGGTAACACATTCATTTAAAAATGTGTACTGTGTAGTTATAATATGCCAATCGTGGTGAAAACTAGAAGTTGTGTACTTTCCCTTGAGGATCTATAATATCAAACATGGGGTCCAACTTTAATAACTATCTAATCTTAAACACTTCTCCAAACCCTGACCTCTAAACACCCTAGTCAGTTTCCATTCCATTAATATCTTACAATGGGAATTAAATTTCAACACACAAAGCCTTGGAGACAATATCCAAATCATAGATCTATTCTTTCTCTCCTACCCTTCCCTCCCCCTCGTCTTGCCCTCCCCTCCCCTTTCCTCACCTCCTCTCCACCTCCTCTCCTCTCCTCTGCTTCGCTCCCCTCCCCTTTTCTCCTTTTCCTTCCATTCCCTTCTGTCATGCAATAGTTGAGATTAATCCCAGGACCTTGCATATGCTAGGCAAAAGCTCAACCACTGAACTACACCCTAGGCTCCCATAATAGTACTCCTGCCTACCTACAAGTGTGTGTGCCTGTGAAGATAGGCAATTATTATTACTTTTGACAATACATGTAAGTTTTCTTAAGTAGTAAACTTCAGCATCTCAATAAACTTGAGTCGTTTGTAGGAAAATGCATGCACCTGGAGACCATAATCTTAAGTGAAATAAACCAGGTACACAAGATGTTTTTATTTTAAAGAGAATAAAGCCAAACAAAATAAAAACAGAGCCATTCAAAACAAATCAGTGAACATAATATAGTATTTCAAAACAAGATAATAGGAAATCAACAATGGCTACCAAATGTCTCTTATTATCCTCAAAGTAACTGTTTATACCATAGGACATAGTAAAATCAAACACAACAAAACAGTATAAAATCAATCAAAAGAAAGCAATGAAAATGATACAGGGTTTCAAAACAAGATAATAGCAAATTAACAATGGCTACTACCTTTCCCTTTTATTTATTTTATTTTAAAGATTGTAAAATTAAAAAAAAAACCCAAACAAAAACAAAACCAAGCAAAACAAAGCCAATCAAAGCAATACAGCAAAATTGGCACAAAACTTCAGAGTAGGATACCAGGAAAACAACAATAGCTACCATAGTATATCTTGTTATCTTCACAATAGTTGTCCATTCCATCAGGTAGAGCAAAATCAAATCAAAAACAAAACACCAATCAAAACAGTGCTGAATAAAGCAAAATAGTTAATCAGAACAAAGCAAAACAGCACAAACAATATAGGCTTTCAAAGAGAAGACAGAAATCCTCCATATTTGCTGTCATCCTCCCAAGAGATGCTCAGACCACTGGCCCCAGGTCAGTGCAATCAACCCAACAATACGAGCATTTAGTTGCTATATGCACCTTACTTGCTATCAGCTCAGCCTGTCCTCTGCACCATCCAGTTGCTTGGGGGCGACTGGAGGGAGGGGACACACGAACTGTGTTTGATTCTCAGCCATATAGGGTCATGGGACACCTCTCTGACCTTTCTCTTGCGTGGCTTACCAGGATGGATGGCTAGTTGATTTCTTGGACATTCTCTTTTTAGACATTTCCTCCTCTTTCACTTTCACAATATCTATTGCACATTTTGAATCTTTATACTAGGGAGACAACACAATGTTCACCCATGTGAGTCCAAACCATTTCACCCATGAACATGATCTCCAGTTGCATCCATTTACCTACAACAACCTCATAATTATCCTGCTTTATAGCTGAGTAGCTTTTCTTTGTATAGAGATGCTGTATCTTTCTTCTCCGTTCTGCAGTTGATGGGGAAGCTATCCCTGCTTTTTTCTGCTTCCCTGTTGCATGGAGCATTGTTTTCTCTCTAACTTTCAGTTCATGAATTTCCTTTCAAGTTAAATGTGTTTCTTGTGTACCACACATTGATGGATCTTGCTTCTTAATCCACTCTGCCTGTGTTTCTTTTTATTGGTGACCTGAGGCCACCTACATTAATGGTCAAGGCCAACGTGTACTGGCTCATCTCGGCCATGCTATTTTCCTGCCGTTGCTGCCTACTTCCCCCTCTGTTCTACTGCCTGCCCAGCTCAGCAGTAACCCTCTGATGCTGGCCCTGGAACCATGGTCATTTTTATCTTTCTTTAGCATGTCCTTCAGCACTCTTTGTAGGGTAGATTTGGTGAATTCCTTCAGTTGTTCTTTGTCATGGAAGTATCTTGTTTCTCCATTAATTTTGAAAGATATTTTTGCAGAGTGTATCAGTCTGAGCTGGAAGTTGTTTTCTTTCAGGACTTGAAATACTATACTCCAAATTCTCCTTGACTTCGTTTGTGTTGAGAAATCTGCCATGATTCTGATGGGTTTTCCTTTATAGGTGATCTGTTCCTTTCTCTATCAGCTTTTAATGTCACGTTGTTTCTCTTGGGAGAGAAGCCCAAAGTGTAAACAAAGGAAGGCTAAAGGGGAAACGGAGGGGAAAAGGGGAAAAGTAGAGAATAGAAGGGAAAAAGTGGAAACAAAACTTTTGTAAATGTGGAGGGGAAGAAGGGTTGAGGGAAGACAATGAGGAAAAAATAAGAATTGAGAGGTATTATGTACAGGTACAAATTCTCTACGATGAATGTGATGTATGTATGACAAATATGTACTAGTAAGTAATATAAAATCAAAAAATAAACTTTGGATTCTTGTGTTATTTTGTAAAATCATTTAATAAGTTAAAATATGAAAGAGACAGTTTTGTTGTTTATGTACATTAACTATAATACATATTTTTTATGTGACCCAAGACAATTCCTCTCCAACCCAAAAGGTTGGATGCTTTGCCTTAGCCTGAGGAGTAAAGGCAATAGAACTCTTTCATTTAGAATTCTTCTATGTGAGAAATTTGCCATTTCTACTTACTAAAATTACTCTTAAATCATGTATGTAGTGAAATCTATTCTTTTTTGTGTTTTCATTGTTGTTTGTTTGTTTTGAGACAGGATCTTACTATGCAGTTCAGGCTGGTCTGGAACTCATTACACAGCCCAGGCTGTCTTTGAACTAACAAGTGATCCTCCTGCCTCAGCCTCCTAAGTGCTGGGACTACAGGCGTGCACCACCACATCTGGCTGAAGTTCATTCTTCTTTGGGTGTGTTTCTATGAGTTTTGACAAATGAATTCAGTCATGCAACTACCAACCAAATCAAGATGTAGAGCTGTTTAATTATCCCCAGAGACTTGTATTTGTTTCTTTGGACTCAGCTACTCCCCTATTCATGACTCCTGCTATGATAATTATAATGTGTCAGCTTGACTTCAGTAGGAACCAACCAGCAGGTTAGGTTAGCCCCAGCCAGCAGGCTCAGAGTCCAAATGGAGTAAGAGGGGAAAAAGAAGGAAACCTGCCCTTTTTTTGGGGGCGGGGGGAGTTCTTTTCTTTGTGCCTTCAGAGGTTGGCCTGCAGTTCCTTCAGCCTTCGCACTGGTGGCTCTGAAGTGAGTGTTCAGGCCTTCGAAGTGCATTGCTGAATCCCCGGCTCTATGCGGTGCTCAGGCAGCCACTGCGGGTTCTCTTACCTCTGATTCTGAAGATGACATTGAGGCTCCGGCCCTTCACAGCAGTACCTAATGAATCCCTTGTAAAACGCTACATTTTTAAATGAAACTTTTATATTGAGTCTATTCCTCTAGTGAACCCTAAATAATACACATTGTAACCTCAAAACGATTTTCTGTTCCTTTTATTTTGCTTTATCCAGAATGTTCTCTATGTGGGTTCATTCAGAATGTAGCATTTTGATTCTGGCATCTTTCATTTGTAATATTTTAATTCATCTGTTGTGTGTATCAGTACTTTATATCATTTTAATGAGGGAGTAGTACTGTATAGATAAAGTATAATTTTTCCATTCAGCACTTGGAGGACATTGGGGCTGTTTCTAATTTTTGGTGCTTATGAATAAATGTTTATATATGGATAACATGTATGATAACTTGTTTTAGAGCAGATAGGGAAACCAAATTTTGCCTCTGCTATGTATTTTTTCTTTTAATTTTATTGGTATATTTTAAAGATATGAAGTGATAACATTAATCATAGGGAATTTGTACCTATACCTGGTATATTTTGCTTTCTCCCCCCCCCACCATTTTCCTCCCCTCCCGTTCACCCTCTTTCCTTCTTTACTTACAGAAGCTTTGTTTCCATTTTTACCTTCTATTCTTTTTATCTTATCTCTTCCTTTCTTCCCCCCTTTCTCTTTCTCCACTTCCCATTTGAACATTATCTGTTATACATTTTGGTCCTTATTTATACTTTCTCACACTACAGAAAGACAACAATGTTTAAATGTACGTGTCAGGTTTATTTCACTTAAGAGTATGGTCTCAAGGTGCATCCATTTAATCAGAAATGTCTCAAGCTTTCTTTGTGACTGAGTAGAAATCACACCTCTTCTTTATTTGCTTGCCCGTTGATGGGCATTTTGGGCTGTTTCCAAGATTAAACTATTACCAGCTATGCCGCTTTAAGCTTGGGTGTGCATATGTCACTGTGGTAGGACGGTTTTCATTATTTTGGGAAGCTACCAAGAAGGGGAATGGCTGGATCAAATAAAACCTCTAGTTTTAGCATTTTGAGGAATCTCCATGCTGATCTGCACAGTGGTGGCAAAGTGTCTAGACTCCCACCCACTGCAGAGAAGGGGTCCCTTTTCCCCAGAGCCTACCCTTATTTGTCATTGGTTGGTTTCTTGATAATACTCGTGCTTTTGTGGTGAGATGGAATCTTAATGTTATGTTAATCCGCATTTCTTGAATGACCGCTGATGTTGAACATTTTTTTCATATACTTATTTGCCGTTTCTATTTCTTCCTCTGAGAAGTATCCATTCACTTCAGATGCCCATTTTTTGATTAGGTCTTTAAATTGGGTGGGGGCAGGGTCTGACATTTTGAGTTCTTTATCTATTCTAGATGGTAGTGTATTGTCTGGGGAACAGCTGCCAATTGTTTTTCCAGAGACACTATGGGTTGTCTCTTCACTCTGTTTGGTGGTTTCTTTTGCTGTGAAAAAGCTTTTTAATAAGAGGAAATCCAAGTTGTTGATTACTTGTGATAGTTCCTTGCATACTAACAGTTCCTTGCGGTACTGTTAATAAAGTCTTTGACTACAGCTATGTCTTCAACAGTTCTACCTTCCAGAAGACATAGTGTTTCTGTTTTAATATTTAGATCTTTGATCCATTTTGATTTTAGTTCAGTGGATGGTGAATGATATGAGTCTAGTTTTAGTCTTCAGCATGTGAAAAGCCAGTTTTTCCAGCACCATTTATTAAAGAGGCTGTCTCTCTTCCAGTGAAAGTGTTTGGCTTCTTTGCAAAGATAAGGTGACTGAGTGTGTTTGCAGTTGATTTTGCATCCTCTAATCTGACCCATTGACCCTCAAATTTGTTTTTTTTTTTCTGCCACTGCCATGCAATTTTTATCACAATAGTTTTGTAGTATGATCACAAGGTCAGGGATTGTGATGACCCTTACCTTGTCTTTGTTCCCCAGAATTGCTTTTGCCATTCTAGGTGTCTTCTGGCTCCAAATGAATTTTAGGTTTGTTTTCTATAATTCTGTGAGATATGCTATTGGAATTTTGAATTGGATTGCATTAAATCTGTTTAGCAATTTTGGAAGTATGGATATTTTCACTATATTGGTTCTTCCTACTCACAAGCAAGGGATATCTTTCCATTTTCAGATATCCTCTTCAATCTTTTTTTCAGAGTGGTGTAGTTTTCAGTATAGAGGGCTTTTGCTTTCTTCATTACATTGACTCCTAGGTATTATTTTTTTGGATGCTATCACGAAAGGTGTGGCTTCCATAATTTCTCTCTCAGTGAGTTTGTTATTCGTATAAAGGGAGGCTACTGATTTTTGAGTGGTGACTTTGTATCCAGCTATGCTGTTCATGTGGTTATTAAATCTAGAAGTCTTTTGGCAGAGTTTTTGGGGTCTTCTGAGTACAGTGTCATGCCATTTGCAATTAAACTTCTTCCTTTACTATCCTTATTCCTTTTGCTTATCTAATTTCTCTGGCTAATATTTCCAGGACTATACTGAATAAGAATGGTGACAGTGGACATCCTTGTCTTGTTTCTCATTTTAGACTGAAATCTTTCAATTTTTGTTCCTTTAGTATGATGTTGGTTGTTGGTTTGTCATAGATAGCTTTTTATCAGATTGAGATAAAGATTATATATTCCAATGTTCTACAAGATTTTTCTTTTTTACCATGAATGGGTGTTGCACTTAGGCAAATACTTTCTCAGCTTCTCTTTAGATGATCTTATGATTTTGTCCTTGGTTCTGTTAATATTGTGTATTACATTTATTAATTCATGTATGTTGAACTGTTATGGTTGATATATTGTATTAACTTGAGCAGTTTAGAAATTTAATTAAGAGACTCAGCGGAGAACCAGGGTTCTTACTTTGTAAACATTCTCATCTTTTGCAAGAGGAGGGCAAAGAGATTTTGGGAGTGCTACACTCATCCTGGAAGAGGAGATGGCCTGTACACAATAAAAGGAGGAAAAGATGCTTATCCTCTCTCTTTTTGCTCTGGCAGATTTTGCTGGCTGTTGCCTTGAAGTGTTTGCCTGGTGCCATGCCACCCTGCCTGGGAGCCAGCTGATTATGGACTAAAACGTCCACAAATTGTAAGTGAAATAAACTTTTTCTTCCTTCATTTGAGATACTGGGTATTTTGTCCCAGCAATGAGAAAAGTAACCAAGACGTGAAGTATTCCTACCTCTCTGGGATGAATCCTATTTGATCTATATAATCTTCTTAATTTGCTGCATTCTACCTGCCATTTTTTTTTTGTCTTTGTCTTTTTGAGACAGGGTCTCACTATACAGTTCATGCTGACCTTGAACTCACTTTGCAGCACAGGCAGGCCTTGAACTTGCAGCAATTCTTCTGACTCAGCCTCCTGAGATGTGAGATTACAGACATGCTTTGTGATGCCTGGCCCAGAAGTATCTTATTGATGACTTTTGCATCAATGTTCATTAGGGAGACTGGCCTGTATTTCATTTCTTTGTGGGATCCCTCTCAGGTTGTGGTATCAGGGCAACGCTTGCTTCCAGGATGGACTTTGGTAGTATTGCTTCTCTTTCATTTTCATTAAAGAGTTTTGAGAAGTAGCAGGATTAGGTCTTCTTCATATTTCTTGTAGAACTCATCAGTGACTTTATCAGGACCTGGGATTTTCTTTGTTGGTAAGATTTTTTTTTTGAGACAGTCTATGTGTAGTTTAGGCTGGCCTTAAGTTCACTGTGTAACACAGGCTGGCAGTTTTTAATTGCATATTTAATTTCATTGACTGGCATTGGTTTATTTAGGATTTTTATATCTTCTTGATTCAGCTGTGTTAATTCATTTGTATCTATAAATCTGTCTATCTTCCATGTTTTTCATCTGATCAAAATACATGTTCTTGGAAGTAGATATTGATGATCTGGATTTCTTCAGGATCTGTTGTGATTTCACCTTTTTTATTCAAAAGTACATTTGCTTCGTGTCTTTATTTCCCTGTTTTTGATAATTGGCTAAGGGCTTGTCAATTTTATTTAATTTTCAAAGAACAAATTCTTTGATTCACTGATAGTATTGTTTTTGAAATCTCCGTTGCATTAATTTCTACTCCAATCTTTATAAATTCTTCTCTCGTGCAAGCTTTGGGCTTGACTTACTCTTCTTTTTTTATTTTTATTTTTTAATTTTATTTAAGGAGAGAAAAAAAAGCAGAGAAAGGGTACAAGTTATACAGATTTACAGAAAAAAATAAACAGTAGGAAATCACTAGTTAATGGATTACATATTGTCATCTTAGAAATAATTGTTCAAGTCACAAAATTAAAGCTTGTAAAGTGGACATTCCAACATGAGACTGCAAACAGTTCTGTTCAATGATCCAATAAAACTCAGTGATATCATTTTCTATCTTATACACTTAAATATACATGCAGTTATATCGTTTAGAGCACTTTCTTTTCCTCTCTTTTGTACAATGACAATTACACATTTTGGGTTTTGTTGCTCCCACAGTTCTTATTACTTTTTTGGAAGGGAGTAGAACCAAATGTGACCTAACAGAACATACTCTTCTTTTTCTAGAAGCTTTCGGCTCAATATTAGGTTATTTATTTGAGCTTACTCACTTTTCCTGATACGGGTATTGACTGCTGTAAATTTTCCTGCTAGGACTGCTTTCATTGTGTCCCATAAGTTCCAGTATGCTGTTTTGGCATTATCATTTAATTGTAGAGACTGTCTAATTTATTCTTGAGCTTCATCTGTGACCCATTGGTTGTTCAGGAGGGTGTTATTTAATTTCAATGTGTTTATGAAGTTCTTGTGGTTTGTTTTGCCATTGTTTTCCAATTTCATTGCACTATGGTTTGATAACATGTATGGAATAATTTCAATTTATTTATTTATCGTACTGGGGATTGAACTCAGGACCTCACGCTTGCCTAACAGGCATTTATACCGCTGAGCTAAATCCTCAGCCCCATCCTTTTATTTATTAAAGCTTGTTTCTATGAACTAGTCTATTTTGGAGAACATCCTTTGTACAGCTGAGAAGAATGTGTATTGTGATGTTGTGGGTTGGAACACTCTGTAGATGTTTACTAAGTCCATTGGTTCAAAATTTGGTTCAGTTCTGATATTTCGTTGTTGGTTTTTTGTCTAGATGATCTGCTTATTTGTGACAGTGGGATATTGAGTTCACCCACTGCAAGTGTGTTAGTGCTTATTTGATTTTTCATATATGATAATATTTGTTTTATTGTTTATTGCTATATATGCATTGGTATTTGGTGCACACATATTTATGATTATCTCTTCCTCTTGGATTGTTACCTTTACAAGGATGTAGTACCCTTCTTTGTCTCTCTTAATCCGTCTTGGCTTGAAAATCACTTTGTCTGCATATAGATAGCTACTCCTCCTTTTTTTCTGGGTGCTACGTTTTGTGTCTAGAAGTCCTCGCCAAAGCCTCCTGCAGTTATGGGGGCAGGCTTCTAGAGTTTGTGATTGATTTATGGTTCAATGCTAGGATTATGGGTGTGAGTGCTGCACCCACCCGTGGGTAGGCAGCCTATGCACAGTATATGGGACAGAAAGAGCCTTCTTGTACTCTCTTCCTATTTTTCTCTTGCTGATTTTGCTGTTGCCCACTACCATGAGCCACCCTGCTGTGGAGCTAGCTGAGTATGAACTGAAACTTCCACAAACTATGAGCAAAATAAATCTTTTGTTCCTTAATTTTGGGTCAGCAATGAGAGAAAAGTAACTTAATATACTGGGTTTCTATCACATAGAGTATTGCTTTCCATCCTTTGATTTTCAGACTATGACTTTTTTTGAATTAAATGTGTTTCTTGTATGCAGCATATTGTTGAATCTTGCTTTTCTTTTTGGAGGCAAGGTTTAGTGAGAAGATATCTTTGAGAAGTACTCATTCCTGGAGATCCTAAATACTAGTAATAAAGCTACTTCCCATAAGCAATTTATGAGCATCTACCCAGAAAGGAAACTAAAAAAAGTAGAAAGTGAGAAGACACTCAAATGAGGTGCAACCCCAGACAGCTAGTTAACCAAAGGCAAGGTCTAGCTATGCAGTTCAGACTGGCTTTGAACTCACTATCTAGCCTGTGCTGGCCTCAAACTTACAGCTTCCTGGGTGCTGGAATTACAGGCATGTACCACCAAGCCTGGCAGGATCTTGCTTCTTGAACTATTCTGCCAGTCTGTTTCTTTTGGTTCATGAGCTGAGACGTTTAACATTGACCTTGAGATTATAATTTGAGTGCATTGACTTATCTTTTTTATATTATTTTCTTGTGATACTTCCTTCCGCTCCCTGTTTAACTTTTACCTTTCCTGGTGATACATTCTTTTGAGTTTTACAGATTTGTAGTCCTATCTCTTTCTAGAGTATCCTTCAGAACTTTTTTTTGTCATTTTGAGACAGTCTCGCTATGCAGTTCAGGCTGGCCTTGGGCTCACTAAGCTGGTTTTGAATTTGGAATGATTCTCCTGCCTCAGTGCTGGGATTACAGGAGTGCGCCACCATGGTTGACTTGTTATGTTACTTCTGCTAGTCCCACTCCAGAGAGTCCAGGTTGGAGGCTTTCACAAGTTGTTTGAATTCAATGACCTCTGAGTTTGCCTTTGGCTAACCAGATGCCTGGGGTTGCATCTTGTTTGAGTGTCTTCTCATTTTCTATTTTTTCGTTCAATTCCTGGATAGATGCTCATAAATTGTTTATGGCGAGTAGCTTTATTGCTAGTATTTAGAATCTTCAGGAAATGAGTACTTCTCAAAGATATCTTCCAGTTGTAGCTGGCTTTTGGGTTTTGAGTCTGTTGCAAGATATTACCTCTTAAGTTTATGGGGATGAGAGGTTGCTGTTCTCTGATTCTTCGGCGCTGGCCTATAGTACTGTTTATGACCCTTAGGCAATCTTGGTCTCCGTGTACCAGAAAGAACCACTGGTTAGAACAATTATGTCACTTTGGTTAAAGTAGTAAAATCAGCAATACCAATAACATCAAATACAGGCTGGAAAATGACAAACTGTGGTAACTATGAATTTGCCACTTTTAACCATGTTAAATAGATTTGTAGGGGTGTTGGATTAATTAAGGGTCAACTTGTAACATGCAACTGAACTGAATCAGCATAGTTCTGAATGTAGAAGACCCACCTGAGGATTGTTGCCAATAGCATAAAAATGAGAGCTGGAGAGAAAGAGGGTAAGCTGTTGATTCTCCTGGGGAAGCTCATTGTACTGGCTTTCCTGGTATGAACTCAGCTGTTCTCATTGTCAGAAAAGCTCAGCTCCTTACTATCACTGAGGATGACTGTGGTTCTATTTGGAGGACCTCTGGTCCTTACTTTGAGCATCGCTTCCTGGCTCCAGCGCAGATCCCTCAGCCTTCTGGCACAGATCCTTCATCCCGCTGGTGCAGACTTTCTAGTTTCTACCACTGACCTTTTGGGCTTCCCCAGTGCAGATCCTTGAAACAGACTTGCATGAGACACTGTTGTGGGCTCTAGGCCTCCAGCTGCCACAGCCTGTAGATCTTCAACTGGACTCAAGCAAGATATTGCTTTGGGATCGACTGTATTCTTTGGGTCTCCAGTATTTGGCCAGATCTCCCGCATTTTTTGCATTTGGCTTTTTGGGTGAATATTATAATATAATCCTATAAAATTTGTGAATTGTATTAAATATTTTCCCTTGTAAACTGACTACAACAGTGATTATAATAACAAAGTCTAAAATGAAACATATATATATATATTTTTTGGTACCAGGGATCAAACTCACAACCACACGCTTGCAAGGCAGGCGTTTATGCCGCTGAGCTAAATCCCTGGCCCCAACAAAGTCTAAAATGAACCAGAAAATTGTGTACAATAAATAAACATTCAATATGGTAATTTTACCATGAGGGGAAAACTTCAAAGGCGTTGGAGCAAAAATAGAAAAATAAAAGAAGAAGAAGAGGTTAGAAGTAAGGCTGGAGGATAAAGTATGAATTATGCAAATTTGGGGAAACTGGTGATGAAGATAGGAGGGAAAGAAAAAGAAGAAGTAAAAGGATGTACAGAACAGAGTAACAACAGTAACAAACCTG